GGCCGGGTCTGTAGCAGGAGGCCCCCTCACGGGCCCCTGTCCAGGGTCCCCCGCAGGGCGGGGGGCGACCCCGTCGCCGTCCAGCCCACCTCAGGCTTTCTCCCTCAGGCGGCCGTGCCCTGGCTTCAGAGCTGGCCGCAGCCACAGACAGCTTGGGAGCAGCGTGTTAGCTCGGGCCACGTTGTCACACTGGCTCTGAGGAAGCAGCTCCACTCAATGTGGCCTAATGAGAGTTCGGGTGTTTGCATCTTACATTTTTTGGTTTTTGGTTTTGCTTCCTGTGGTGCTGGGGATGAAGCCCAGGGCCTCGCTCACGCTAGGAAAGCACTGTACCACTAAAGCGACATCCCCTGCCCGTTTCACTTTTTCCCGCCTTTTAATAGACTAGGTTCCTTAGTACACCAAGAATTCCATATTTGTGTTTGTTGAGCCTTAAAGTCAAGGTGTTGTTACGTTGTCCCTCCGGGGGATAAGGGCTGGCTCTTTAAGCGCCTGCGGTAGAAATCAGAGCCTAAATGAATTTTGCTGACTTAGCTAATTGACATTTTTGGCCACGGAGTCACTGGTAATTCTTTCTTTTTGATGAAACTAGAAGAAACAGATCCTCCCACCCTTTCTTTTTATGAAATGAATCATCTCCAAGGAAACAAAGTGCATACCCCTCCCCCCCAAAAAGGTCCAGTTTAAAACACTGAATTACTCATCCAAGCACTTTAGGATCTAGGAAGCCTTTGTGGAACATTTTTTAAATTGTTGCTTATTGGAGCTTTACTTCATATAGCATAAGCCACAGCTGCAGGAGCTCAGATTTCTGCTTTTCTGGTTCTCTCTTGTCCTAATCCACACTTTTTAGTGTACAGGTAAAGGTGGGGCAGAGCGTGGGGGCCTTTGTCATTCTCAGTTTGTCCTTAGAGGAATCATGGAGCAAAGCCTTAACCCAGGGAAAAGACCTCTCTGAGAACCAGCTGGGGTCCCAACACCTCTTGCTTGTTGGTCCTCAAGAGTTGGGACAGGGCAGGGGATTAGCTGGTTTCAAAGACAGCATAGTTCTCTCCTACCGTCAACCAGGTTTGACAGGTTGCCGGTCTGACAATGCAAGACAGGCTTTGTCTTTTGAATTTTTATGGACTGTTTCCTGATTAATAAGATGAAAAATATAGAACATGGGCATATTATCATTTAAACAGTGCCATTACTTTAAATATCTAGATGACTTGCTTATTCCCTTTTTTACCCCCAGAAACACACTTGCACTACTGCCCTTCATTTAGATTCATTCTGTAAAAGTGGAATTTCACTATAGTGTAAATAGATGAGACAGTGACTGCATGGAACCAAGGAAATGATATAGCATTTGTTGGTTATAGGGAGATAAGTTTAAACTTTGATGTGATGTGTGTAGCAAGTTCCCTAAAGCAGCAAACAAAAGAAAAAGTTCAAGGTTTCTGCATTTTGTAAGATTTGAGATGTTCAAAATAAAGCTATAACTTGAAATCTAGTTAAATTTGTCTCCATCTCCTCTAAGATTTATTCCCAGATGTTAGTCTTCCAAGCTAAGGATTTGCCAGTCCATGGTCATTGTTATCGTGTGGGACTCTGAATTTTTTTTTAGATCAGTCTCCAAGTTTGAGTTACCCCCGTGTTTGGCAAGGTGGTTCCTATTCTGTGATTTCCTGTTGGCATCAGCACTGGTTTTGGAGGACTCTGAGAGGCCTCCTGGCTCATCTGTTCTGGCAGGCCGCCCAGGCAGGCAGCGGTGAGGAGCTGGGTAAGGACGTGTAGTGGGCACTGCTTCCCGCTCTTCCATTCACTTAGCTGACGCTCAAAGGAAGCACCCCAATATTCAAACACTCGGTTCTGATGGGAATTTTTTAACCATGGAGACTTTTCAGTATTTAGGATTCCATTGATTTTTCAGTAACATTTTGTTTTCTCCTATTTTGGGCAGTTTTGCTAGTGTGTCGCCATTGAGTTGGGTGTTGTTGCAGAGCAGTGCTTGCAAATGAAACTGGCAATTATCCCTTGCTGGTTCACATTAATTATCATCCTACTGCTAAGCCAGGAAAGGGCTACTCCCAGTGTCATGACTATTTAAATGCAGCCAGAATGATAAGTTATAGTATAAATAGTACTAAGACATCACTGAGAATTAGGGGCTTCTTGAGGTAAAAGTAAAATAATTGATTAGAGCATTCAACACACCCCACTGAGTGAGCAGAAAGGATGTGCAGTAAAGGAGATACTGAGGAGGCCCTGCCAGGCTTCCTGTTGTGGTAGAGTAGGGGCTGTTAGAGCAAGAGGCACGCCACCAACTGGGGATTCTGGTGGCACAAGCACCACATCAAAATCACATCTCCATACCTCACAGTTTTGGTCCTCAGAGTCCTCAGTCCCTAGTGGGGCTGCACAGATGACTTGTAACCTTTTCTAGGGAGGATAATGCCTTTAGACACACCAGGGCAAAAGGGAGGAAGGTACAGTACTCTAACTTGTATATGGAACTCAAATTTGCTTGTTTGTTACGGTACTGGGGATAGAACTCAGGACCTTCATTTGTCAGGCAGGTGCAGTGCCACTGAGCTATACATCCCTGGCCTGGAACTCAAATTTGAATGTTCTGTATTGTACAATGTGTTCTCTGAAATAAAGATTACTTTTTCTAGGTCGAAATAAAGGAAGCAGGTAGCACTGTGGCAAGTAATCTGGAGGAAGCAGCTTTCCCAAACCCTCTTGTTCAGGAATCCTGTTGCAAGTTTCTACCATCCCAAGAAGCAGAGGACTCCATTAGCTCCTCTCCTAAGAGAGACTCCAGCCCAATGGTAACTATGCCAAAAAAATTTTAAAAAAGCGTGCACCATACGTGTTCTGTCAAACGTCAGCCCATCATTACTAAGCAGATAGATTAACCCTCTGTTGTTTCTCCCCTTCTTCACTTGTTGGGTCAGCACTTTAGGTAAGGCTCATCTACAAGGAGGACTGTCACTAGGGCATTTGACTTTTCAACTTTCACCTCTAAGATTCTCATTTGTCCTTGATCTTAGCAAATCAAGAATTGGGACGTTGCTGTGCTCGTTAAGGAGAGTAACCACAAGTGATTTCAGTTCACAAAGAGCTGGGCATCAGGCACTGGGGTGGGAAAAGCAGTTGAGCCCCCTATGCTTTGTCATGCTGCAGGGGATGGAGCTATAGTTCTGTATTTGTCTGTTTGGTACCAGGGATCAAACTTGGGGCCTTACACTTGTGCTTGCGAGGTAGGCAGTGGAACCACTGAGCTAAATCCCGGGTCCTACAACTCTATGGCTTCAGGCAGAGGCCCCTCCTTCCTCCCTTCCTTCTTCCCTACCTCCCTAGAGATTTCTTTTCCCTTCTCTCCTCCCCTCCCCTCCCCTCCCTCCCTCTCTCTTTCCTTTTTTTTTCCTCTTTCTGAGACAGGGTCTTGCTATGCAGTTCAAGCTGGCCTTGAGCTTACTATGTAGCCCAGGCTGGCCCCAAACTCATGGCAATCCTCTTGCCTCAGTCTCCCAAGTGCTGGATTACAGACGTGCACTATCATACCCATCCTCTTTCAGATTTTTAATGGCAACTACCACTTTTGTAGGAATGTGATCTAACACTCCTTGGGTTTGTTTCATATTTTTGCACCTGTGCAATTTCATTTTATCCTCCTAAAACTCTAGGGTGGGCATGACTTTTAAGCCTCATTTCATGGATGAGATAATAAGAGATATTAGTCACACTGCCTGCACTCGTCTTCATAATCATGATTGTTGTGAGTCGTGTGCCTAGAACTCTGGATCTCATACAGTGAGGACTAGGCCTGGGGGGCCCAGAGAATCTGCTTCAGCATTCCTTTAGTGAAGTGCTCAGGGACTGTCTTCCCTCTAGCAGCTCTCTTCTTCTAGAACGAGGCCCCAGCTCTCAGGCATAGACAGTATCCAGGAAATACTTGAAAATGAGCTCCCCATGAAATATGGCTAGGCTGTGGCAAACACTTGCACCCACCTCTGACAGTGATTCCACTTGGGTCCCTCGGTCTGACAGTAGAGTTTTTGTGGAACCCACAGGCCTGAGGGATGAGAGCCCTCTGATTCCCCTAGACTGTAAGTGGATGTTGGCAGGGGCTCTGAAGTGTCAACCCAGGAGAGTACAACATTGGCCTGGAAAGCCCACTCTCAGCCTTTCCCCAGTTTAATGCACATGTGTGTACATAGTTGCAACTATATCCTCCAAAACAAATAAAATCCCACTGGACATGAGCACTGGCTTCACATGAATTGTCAGGACATTTCAAGCTAGGGACTTGCTTCTCTACCCTAGTGGCTCTCTGTTATTTTGGTGACACTGGGATGCTCTTTAGGATTTTCCTGTCCAACCTAAGGCTGGAATCCAGGGCTTCTCTGTGTGGTTGTGATATTGTCATCGGAATTGGGAGCTGTGTGGGCAGAGATTATGGCTCATTTGGCGGTCATGTCCATGCCATTTGTAACACAGAGAGCTCCATCAGCGCTTTTGACTGACTGATGGATTGGACTGACAGACTCGCTTGACTTGCTGAGAGCTGATTAGTAGTCAGAACCTAAATAGAGGATCTGATGGTACATGGCATGGCCAGAAAAGTTGATATGGCTTCTCAGAATTGTCTAGTTCTTGGATTAACTTTTCTAAACTGTACTTGTAGGAAATAAACAGACCTTTAAAAATGTATTAAATAACAATGTGTGTGGCAGGAAAGAGCAACTACAGTAAAACTAAAGTTTAGTTTTCATATGTGCCCAGCCACAGAGAGGGCTTCAGGAAACCCAACCAGGTCTGAAAGGTGCCAGGGCCAGCGAGCAGCCCACTCCATTAGTGCGGGCCGCACAGTGAAGCACAAGGTGCAGGAAGCTGTGTATGGTCACCCAGTCCTTACACTCAGTCTCAGTGGCCGGACCCCTGCGGAGGAAGACAGGAGAAGGGCTAGAGTACATAGAGCACACTGCAGGAGATGGCTTTGGGGAGTATAGGAAACAGTTACTGTAGGGGAAGAAATTGAGAATAGATACAGTTTTCCAACTTACCTGGATTAAAGCTCTTTTCCCACATCTAAGGTTGCTTATGTTTGTACGACTGGACTAATGAAACCTGATTGTTGTTTTTCATTTTAGGTGACCTGATTGTTGTTTTTCATTTTAGGTGATATGTCAGTTGAAAGGGGGCACACAAGTGCTGTGTATAGACAATTCTGGCACAAGAGAACTAAAAGCACTTCATTTGGTTCCTCAGTATCAAGACCAAAATAATTGTCTACAGTCAGGTACAAAGTAAATGCATGAAAATTATGTCACATGTCCTATATAAGTTGGTAAGTGAATATGTTTGGCTTTGTGTATAGGGTAAAAGTCAAAGAGACAGAGTATTAAGCACACCTCATGGCCCACAGTAGTGAGTGACACAGTCTTAGGATGGTGTCTCACGGAGTCCACCACTGATTCTTAGAAGAGCATCTCTGTGCATACACTCAGGCCACTGTAAGATGTTGAGCTGACTGGAATGTTTCTGTACCAGACGCTTCCTGGCCTTCCAGCAATCTCAAACCAGGATCAAACCCAGGAGAGTTCATGTTGGCCTGTGAAGTCTGGAGCAAAAAGAGAAACTGTGACTCCTTAACTCCACATCCCATCCTTCTCTGGGGACTGGGAAATGTCTTTGTGACATTTACTTTTCTATGGTAGAAGAGCTGGGGCTGGGCCTTGCCCCAAGAAGCCCCTAGCTACATAGGAGTAGGTTCAAGCCTGGGTTCTCTGGTCCCTGTAGGTCACGGCTACATCCGTGATGCTCTCTGCATGCAAGGAGATATTTTTTCCTCTGCCAAAATCCTATCACCTTCAGATCCACATAAAGAGGAGATTTATGTAATGTTTTTCCAGTTCAGTCTCCTTGTCATGTGACATGGCCCCTCCCTCAGCTCCTTGTGTATATAAAATATGCTGCATGCTATTAAATATCACCATAAAATAGTGCACCCTGTGGTCCAAGTCCATCATCACTCACTCAAAGGAGAGAAGCCTAGAGAAGGAAATATGTTCAGTTTGCAGGGGGAGGGCACAGGCTGAAGAGTGGAGGACGTGCACGTGTCTCCACTCCAACTCCAGAGCACCAAGGTCTGCAGGCCCCTAGATGTTTCAGGGATGTTCTTCACCATCCCCTTAGGCCAGGGGAGGAATGCCTTTCAGTTCCTGTGTGAGTAGTTTGGTCCAAATAGTTTCATAAGCATTTGCATCCTGCAATTTACTAAGCATTTGGAGGACGGAAATGGCAAGTAGTTCCTACAGTGTCCAACAGGTGTCACTGGTCTTTCACTGAAGAGGTCACCTACCAGGCACTGCCCTGGTGCTTTTGCTACAGCACCCATAGTGCTTGCCACGGCGTGGGAACCTGTGCAGTAATAATGCTCTTTTACTATAGTGCACTATCCCTTGCAAGCTCAGATCAAGTAACTTTATGACAAAACCTCCAAAAAATCAAATAAAGGTTATAAGTTTAAAAAGACCCTGACTTAAAAAGTTTTGTAGAAGAAAAACACAAATAGAACAAGGAGCTTTGTACATGATACATCTAGGATACATTTTGGTACTTTCTTCCCTATGTAAGTGGAAGAACAATGCATGCTATTGATTAATTTTAACTGTCTTCCTTACAGATGTCACTAAACCACTGACTACTTTAGTCGGAAGACTTTTGCCAGTACCAGCAAAACTAAATCTCCTTACACAGCAAGTGAGTCGTTGTTTTAATACAAAAATACAACTGGGCATTATTGTCTCAAAATTTCAGTTGTAATTGAGATCACTCAGGAACAGAATTTCTCCTCCAGTTAAAAATCGGCAGTGAAACATTTACCAAGTATCAGATTGCTTTACCTCCACGGCAGGTGCGGGCAGGATGCAGTGAATAGGAGACATGGTTCTCTGTCAGTCCAGCGACCCGAGTTGCCCTTCCCCACAGCCGCCTGACACTCACCTCACCCGCTTGCTAACCTTGTGTTTTGCAGTCCCACAGGCCTCCTGGCTGTGGACCTGCTTTTGTGATGACACCATACTCTGCAAGTATTACCTATATAGTTAGATGCCATGTGCTTTTGTCCTGAAGTCCTGCCATGAATGTTTCTCCCTACCAGAGCCTTCTCCTGATTCCCCAGCACAGAAAGCCAGTCACTGTCACAGCACTGGTCTCATCCTCTACACAGCACTGTCATTGTCTTCTGTTGTTCGGTCTTTCTGTCCTTGTGTCTGCCTGTCTGCCTGCTTCTACACACAAGAGTGCAGCTCCACAGACACAGAGTCCATGTGTGTCATTCATTTCTGTAAACTAAGACCTGGCGAAAGGCCTGGCCTGTGGGGACTTTGCCCACTTGCATCAGGACCGGTGCTGGCCTAAGACATCAGCGAACCCACCAACAAAACAAAACACTCAGCTCTACTCTCCTGAAGCTTACCTTTTAACGCAAGCAGCAGGTGACAAACAAACCTAACAAGGAAACCATACAGAAGAGCGGAGGAGGAGGAGGAGGAGGAGGAGAATTAGGGGAATGGATGGCTTTTAAATTCAAATAAGGTAGTCACAGCTGCATGGAGAAGGTGGCATTAGAGCAAGTCTTGAAAGAGATGAGTGAGCATGTGGTCACAGGAAGAACCTTCCAGGGAGAGGGAACAGGACAGACCTCAAGGAGGGTCATGCTTCATGCAGTGACAGCAAGCGGGCCAGCAGGGCTGGGACAGAGCAAGCAAGAGAGGGGCAGTAGGGAGGAAGTCCAGGATAAGGGAAGATGTGGCTTTCACCCTGCTTGCAAAGGGGCTGTTGCAGGAGGGCCAGGGTGGAGGCAAAGGAACCTGCTGTAGCTGTAATCTCCATGGGAGATGACGGTGGCTCAGATCAAGTAGTAGCAACAGAGGTGGCAAGGAGTAGCTTCTCAGGACTTAGTAGGTTGAGCCAACAGGATGTGTTGCTGTTGGACCGGCTGAGGGATATAAAGAGATAGAGGAGTCAAGGATGGAGTACACTGGAGACACAGCTTGCCAGCTCTGTGAAACCCTCTGGCCCTTCCCCACAGCCCGCAGACTCATCACTGCACCCCGTTTGCTGATTTTCAGCCTGAACAAATGGAAAGGTGGAGTTTGCATCAGAGAGACAAACTAATGCAGATGTTTCAAGGGAGTCAAGGAGTTCCAGTTCTGCCTGGCCTATCAGTTGGAGGTGTCTCAGGCACCCCATGCAGATGTGCGGGAGGGCAGAGAGGAAGATCTGTGCAGGGGGATGAAGCTGGGACTCCGTGGTACAAGGATGGTGTGTTGAAAGCCAGGCAAATAGATGAGTCTGGGAGGCAGCAAGTGTGAATAAGGTAAAATATTTGTTGAAAGGATGAGTATATTATTTCTCAAGTTAGATGTTAGCCAGAAAAATCATACTAACAAACAGACAAACAGGTCTAGGCCACAACTGGTAAGCAGCTGCTAGGGAGCCTGCAGGTACTGGGCAGACTCTTCCATCTGTGGGCATTGTCCACGCCACCAGTTTCCTTCCTTCACTGTTTGAGTCATCACGCAGAAAGGCACTCTCGTGCTTGCTCTCCCAGCTCTAAGATCTGGCATGAGAAATGCCCAGTGATTAAAGCCTCCTGCTTCCGCCGCCTCCCCATCTTTCCTCAACTGTGTGTGTTATTGTCCGTCTCGACTCCCCTGACTTCTTACCCTGGCACATCAGAGACAATTCTTTTAATACTGTATTTGCTACATCCTAAGAATCCCTGACTTCCTCGCCAGACCCCAAGTTCTGCCTGCTCCTTAGGGCCTCTCCACTCAGACCATGGAGCATGGTGGGAAGCACTGACATTCCCTCAGACTACTAGAAGTGCGAAATCCCAGGGCCTGCACAGGCCTGAGACTCAGATAGGCTGGATCAGAATCTGCAGGTTGGGCCGGGGATTTAGCTCAGTGGTTCTGCTGCCTGCAAGAAGCTGAACCAGGACAGTTTCCCAATGTCTTCTGGCTCTCACAGATGGTGATGACACAGAACTGAAGAAGGGGGCAGGAGACAGGAAGTGAAGAGGATGGATAAAGGGTGCTTTTTGAAAAAAGCTCACATACACACACACACACACACACACACACACACACACACACACAAAGCATTTTTAATCTAATTTTATCTCATGCTCTCAGAAGGAAGTTAGGCCAGTGATGGTTTGGCTGCCTACCCTTTTTCCTACACCTGAGTGGTAGAAAGGAAAATACGACTTGAGAGAGCAGAGGACATGGATGTTGCAGAGATGGTGGCACTGCTTTGGAATGTGTTAAAATTCACCGCAAAATATTGTTTTGAATAGATGAAAATTAGTGACTACCAAAAGACTTCAAATGTCAAAATCTCTTATACTAAGAACATAATAAGCATGCTTTTAGTTTATGGAAAGTTGCAATTGCTTTTACTTTACGACTTGTAATTCATAGAAAGGAAGTAAGAGTTCCATTGTAGCACCCTTCCCCAGCCGGCTGACTGCTGGTTCCTTTTCTCCTGGCCCCCTGTGGCCCTGCCTCCCCCACTTCTGTCTGTGTCCCAGGGTCCTATGGCTGGGCAGGTCCTGGAGACAGCCTCGACCTGGAGTGCTCAGGTGGTAGTGGATTCTTTGTGGTAATGAGGCCTGGACATAGTTAAGAGGAGATTGTGGTATGAACCCAGGGCAGAAATGATAAACCTTTAAGAGCTTTCAGTGATACCAGGAGCCCACTGCAATACATGTGCCCTAGGTTCACTACCGCTGATGGAGAGAAAAAAGAATGTTTATCTGCACACAGAGGCTGGCTGGAACTCTGAATACACGTGCTCATGCAAAACATTTTCCCTTTGTCTCTCTGCAGCTTGACAGTGGTGCCCTCCCATCGGCAGCCAACAATGGGCCTGCTTTCCCCTCGGAACCGACTCTTCCAGGGCCGGTGAAAATGACTTTGGCTGGGTAAGGATTAAAAGCAATACACTATCAGTTCTTTTAATATAAGAGTTTTGTGTACCTCTGGGGTTCCTTTTATACTACAGAATTAGCTTTGGAAAGGTTAGTTCCGACTTTGGCTGTACACGTGTGGTTGTTATTGCTGGAAAGTCTGGTCTGGAGCAGCCCTTGGTTTCCACCCCACTGTCCCCTGTTCTGTAACCAGGCTTCAGGGCTTGTTGCCATTTGTAGCTTGGTCTTGGTTTCACATAGTTTCAAGATGTACTGGTCTATTTCTTTTTTGTTGTGATCAATGCAAGTAATCCAGTGGCAGCCACTTAATATAGGAGGTGGCTGCAGAGCTGCCTGTGCCCTCTGCCCTCTGTGCTGAGCCAGCACCAGCTCTGTGGCAGGGTCCCAGTGAGTCTGTACTTGTGTCTCTGGTGGACATGGGCTGCTCTGAGCTGGGACCTTGTCTTACCGTTTTAAAGTTGTATTTATGACTGTAACTAATTCAACTAACCAAGCTGGTTGAAATGCTTTGTCAAGTTCACGTTCATGTGCTGACTTCTGGGCCATCCTTTCTCCTGAATTGAAGCAGTGAGATCAGTCTGTTCCTGCCCCTAAGAGTGTCGTGGCCGAGTCTAGGTAGTCGTGAATCTGGGGCCCAGAGGACCCTTCACAGCACCTTGTGAAAGGTGAACCGACCCCTGGTGCTGCCCAGTTCCTGCAGGGTCTGCCCTTGGGCACAACATGGCCTTGGTAAGTGTTAAGAGAGTGGTCTGAGGGCAGAAATGAAAGGCTGAAGTCCTAGAGGGGCCCTGAAGACAGACTAGACTCGAGTGCAGTCTACTGTTGGAGCTCCGCGTTGGCACTGGGAGGTGGTTGTGCACGGGACCTGCTGACTTGGTTTGAGCGGGTGTTCCTTCCGCTGATTGCTTCCAGTGACTGTGAAGGACAGGGACTGTGTGGCACCACAGTCCTTGCCTCACTCGCTGGTGTGATGGATCATGAGGACACAATTGGTATTGTCATTGGACATCTCATCATAACATTTCTGGATGAGACAAAAGCATCTTATGAAGCTTCTGGATTCTGCTGGCAGCGTTGCATCTTCAGTTGCATAGTATAATCCACAATTCTACGAGCCTCAAAATGTTCATGGTAGCTTTGTTGTGCTCTAGATACATCCAGTCAGTGATATCGTGCCACTGTAAGCTCTGTTGTGTCTAGAGCAGTGTGGGCTCTCACAACGCGTGGCCATCTGAGCCCTCATTGTGGTACAGCCACTGTGCACTTTCAGGGGCGCAGCTTTCTCTGTGGCAAACTTTCTTCTTTCCTCTTTTTGTCTTCTGCCTTCTTCCCTTACTTTCTCTCCCCCTCCCACTCCTTCTCCTCAGTCAATATTAGAATTTCTCAGTCAAACATTTTTCTTTATTTTGAAGTAATTATGCAAGATACAAAAGCTTTTCTCATGTAAGTGATGTGTCAGAAGCAACATGAGCTTTGTGGGTTTGGTTTGGTTTGGTTCTGTTGCTGCAAATAATTACTCGATTTGCCGTCACTCCCCTGAATCAGCCTGATGCTTTTTGTCTCAACACCCACAGCACGGATGCTATTCTGGACTCTGCCGGTTTATCGTTGCTAGTAAGGGAGCACTCAGAGAACTGTTGGCTGGTGGTTTTATTCTGTATGTTCCCAACCACCACTGATTTAGTGCATTGTCCACCCCTTCATGTGCCTCATTAGCCCTCTTTTGACTCTGACGAGGTCAGCCTAGGTCTGAAGGTGTCAGAAAAGAAGCCCTGTCAGCCCAACATCATTTCAACCTAGCTAAACTACCAGATGATAGAGAAGTAGGTTGGCTTGGGTCTTGAGGCCAAATGCATGAATTGACCCAACCATAGTTCTTAGAGCTGGGTAATGAACTAGCTAGCTTATTCACCTTTGGTTATTATAATACCAGAAACCCTCTTAATAAAAAGTCATGTCTTGTATGGGCTTCCACAAAGTCGTGGAGTTCTTGTGAAGGAGAATTTTCTGCTTATGTATTTTGGCCCTTTTTACTCTAATAGCAATCACATAGGTAATTTTTATACTAATTTGGTCAGTGTAGAAGGCTGGCAAAAAAAGTATGTCCTGTTACTGACCAGCTTTAATAATCTGACCCTCAGTCAGATCATAAATGTGGATACTTACACATGGCTGATATATCATTTTTGGTAAATACTCAACTTCATAATAAAGAATATCCAGAGCCTGCATCTCTGGAAGTTTTTCTTAAAGATGAGGTAACATCTCGTTGTGGGTGCATCACCATGATGCTTTTCCGAGGCAGTGCTGTCCGGATCGTGTGTAACCCTTCTAACTTTTAGGTTGGCCCAAGAGATGACCAAGTGAAAGTCTTTCCCGCCTCATTGCAGTTACAGAGTCCCCTGCACACCACGTGCTCATGGCTCACGTGGTGTTTTCTCAGGCTGCTCTTTCACAGAAGGCACTTTTTGACCCACAATAAAGAAAATTTATAACCTTAAACATAATTTGTTCTGCTTCCTTCTGTAGTAGTTTAATTTTTTCCAACTGTATTAAATTATCCTGGGCCTGAATTTTATTGTAGTATTTACAATTAGTATCAAACAATTTGATGGTGGGTTATGTACTATGTTATGATCTCTAAATTTTCAATCATCCATCTCATGTCCCCAGTTATTTGGTGGATTCTTCCATGACAGACACTGTAAATTTAAAAGTTATTTCTTTCTGAAGCACCCACCTCTGTCTGGACTATGTGTCAGGCCCCTAGTCCAAGCACGCTGGCTGCTCTTGCCACACAGACACACATTGAACTCCTACTCCCTCAGTATCTTAGGAGCTGAGAGTGTGGGCTCAGACACAGGAGACAGAATAAAAGGCTTGGCCTCCTTCTGGGCGTAAAACCTGAATTATAACCATACAACAAACATCACAGCATTCATCCTGCACCAAGTGCTAGTCTAGATCTTTAAGAAATTTAAGCTAGGCTGTTGGCACACACCTGTAATCCCAGAACTCAGGAGCCTGAGGCAGGAGGATTGCCATGAGTCTGAGGCCAGCCTGGGCCACACAGTTTGTTCAAGGCCAGCCTGAATTACATATTGAGGCTCTGTCTCAAACAAATAAAACAAAAAACCCAAACAAAAGAAATTCAGGACTTGATGTGCTCTTGGCCAGAAGCAGCAGTACACTACACAGAGGAAAGCTCAGTGCAGTACACGCTCACCTGCCAGGCCCTCCTCATACTCAGGGTTTGCCCATGTCTCTCCTTTCACCATCACCAGTCCCACTTCCGGCATCACTAATGCCGGGAGTTCTCACAGTGAGCATCGCCTGTGAACAATGCCCACATTCATCAGTGCTTGAGACACCTAAAGAGAGGAGTGCTTTCTTCTCCTCTCAAGATGGCTGCTGGGCAAATCACACAGACAGTTGGGAGGCAGTTGTAATAATCCCTTCCCCAGAATAAGGTAATCCCCAAAGATCACATGATACACTCAGAACAGGCTTTGACGCTGTTGGTAACATTACAGTGTGGGTAGCTTTAACACTGGTATACTGTATAGACAATGGTTTATCCTTGATGCATATTTCCCATTAGCATTCAGGTGGGGGGCACTTGGTAGGGGAGAACACACAGAGTAGAAAGAGAATAAGAAGAGACTTAAACAGGTCACAGAAAAAACTCTAGAAAGCTTTTTGAAGTGTATACGGCATGGGACCTCACTTCCCACCCTATGGATTGCCAGCCATGCACTGGTGGGTCAGGCAAGGCCAGTCATATCACATGTGAACTGTGCTGCCACCCCCAGTACATGCCCAGGCACCTAGGAATAATACCTGTAAATGTCTGGTGTTGGATTATTAGTGTTTGTTGAAAACACCAGCTGCTTAGCTAATTATCTTTTTACAGAGTAACCATCTGAATACATTTTCTTTTTTAATCTTTGTAGAGTAACTCTTAGTTCATGGGACACAAAGTCTAAAAAGCCATGTAACTGTACCAAATCCCAGTGTCTGAAATTGTAAGTAACCACAAATCCTTCATTATTAAATATGAAATAAGGTTGTTTAGAAGTGAGTAAGTAGAGCACAGTGTAGACAAACCAGACCAGTTTAGTAGTGTACATGCTGCAGTTAATTTTCAATGGCCGCATCTTGACACTCTTTGTAAACCAGAACAAGCAGAAGCCATGCTTTTGGCACGAACCTGGTTTGGATCTTATGGTATTATCTTGGCCTGTTAACTTAAAAACTGGCACTTCCCACATTTCAAGGGATGCAATTTTCTTGACTTTGGTTTACATCCTCTAGTCTAGTCCTTCTGGCAGTGCTAAATGTGTCATCATTGTTGAGGATTAACTGTAACATTTCTACACCCTGTTTTCTGAAAGTCTGATAAATTGGTTTAGTCAGCTTTCCCACTGCTGAGACACAATACCTGACACCCACAACTTAAAGGAGGAGAAGGGATTCAGTGCATGGTTGGCTGGCTCCAAAGCAGAAGGATGTGGTGAAGCAAAGCTGATTAGTTCATGGTGGCTGGGAAGCAGAGCAAGGAAATAGTGCCGGAGAGGAAGGGGTGAGGGACCAAAGATACAACCCAGGACATGCCTCTGTGACCTAGAAATGTGTTTCACCAACCCCTCAGGTGGATCCCAAGCCAAGCAAGTTAACACTCTACCCTAACCACTGCATCTCACCCTTTGTCAACTTCATGCTTTCTTTAACAATACTTAATCTTCAAATAAGGACAATAGTAAGTACATAATTCCACCTAACATAATGCACTATCCTGCATACAACAGAAAACTACAATCCCTTCCCCAAAGTCTCAGAAGTTCCAGCATTTTTCAAAAGTTCAAGGCCAAGTCTCTTCTGAGACTCAAGGTAAACTCACAGCTCTGAACTTCTGTAAAAATAAAAAACTAGGTATATAATCCCATGATACAGTGGCATAAAGTAAATGTTCCCATTCCAAAAGGGAGGAATAA